AATTTTTTTGTAGTTTATTGCACTTTCTTGCAATTTATGTAATTTCTATGCCCTTAATGCATACATATTATTAAAATTTGGGCTATAATGGTTGTATTGATGTATAGCAACTTGAAATGGCAAGAGAGTGCAGCAATGGCAAAAATGGCACTACAGCATGTAAAAATATAATATAATCTCTGGCGGACTTGGTTCTATGGTAGGTCTTAAAGGGCTAAGGCAGACCCAGATACTCCAACCCAGTACTTTAGCCTTTCAAGCAAAATGTAATGGTCAACGGTGTCAAAGGTTGACGTGAGGTCCAACATTAAGAGTACAGAACATTTTCCTGCATTGTTTTGCATCAGAATGTCACTGGAAACTGGAAAGGGCTGTCTCAGTAGAATGAGCTCTACAAAAGCCAGACTGAAATTTGTCAAATATATTATGTTTGTCTAAAACTGCTGTAAGCTGCTTAGCCACAACCTTCTCTAATATCTTAGCAATTAACGGTATTATTGAGATTGGTCTGTAATTGCTAGTGAGAAATGGGTCCGGCGTGTTTTTTTTTAACAGGGGGTGTATAGCAGCAGTTTTAAAAGCAGGGACTTCACCAGACCCCAGTGAGGTGATAACTATGGTGTGCACACAGGGACCAATAGAGTGGAAGACATTTTTGAATAACGTTGCAGGTAAAATTTTGAGTGAACAGGAGGATGCTTTCGTTGCATTAACTATTTTTACCAGCTCTGATAGTGAGGGGGGTAAAAAGCTTTCTAAAATGACAGGCCGAGCTGGCGTAGGAATTGACAATGCAGAAGCTGATGGGGACATTTTTTTCCTTACATTACTAATTTTTTCTAGAAAGAAAGAAAGAAATGTTTCACAGTCTTCATTAGAAGAAATAATGGCAGCAGGTGGAGCAGGAGTAATAATATCAGAAATAGTGTGAAATAACACCTTAGGATTACCTCTGCTCTTTGCGACAAGATGAGAAAAATAAGCCGCCCTCGCATCTCTAATTGCATTGTTAAAAGAGGCTAAGAGATCCTTTAAGTAAAGGAGATGAACATTTAAATGAGTTTTCTTCCACAAGCGCTCAGCTTTACGCCAATCACGTTTTATGGAGCGGATATTGTCATTTAGCCAGGGTAAGGACTTGGAAACAGAAACTGGTCATTTTAACCGGACAGATTTCATCTAAGATCGAAAAACAATGGTGATTAAATAGATCTGTTAAGAAATCAACGCCGTTTTGCAGCGATAGAGTTAAATTAAAAGCATCTGAGAAATTCTCCGCTGTGGAGGAATTTATGATGCGCAAGATAATTGTCCGGTGGACAGGAGACAAAGGCTCGTGAAAAGAAAAAAGAATACAGTGATGATCAGAGATAAAAAAAAAATGTCCTCAGAACAAATAGAATCAATATTCAAACCCAAAGTAAAAACAAGGTCCAGTGTGTGTCCTTTGTTATGTGTGGGGCCTTACACATGCTGGGTAAAATGAAAAGTATCCATAATGTTGATAAAACCTCTGGCAAAGAGGTCGGAGTCATCATCAACATGCATGTTAAAATCCCCAACTAAAAGCAGTCTGGACAACCTCATAGTAGAGGACAGGAAGTCGCTGAACTCCGATAAAAACAAGCTATTTGGGCCAGGTGGACGATACACCACAGCACAATAAAAAGGATCCTTACTTCCAATTTTAATCAGCTGTAGTTCAAACGGCAGAAAGTGTCCAACTTTCACTGAGCGGCAGGAGAAATGGCCCATTAAATGCCACAGCAAGACCTCCTCCACGACCAGATCCCCGAGGCTGGCTAATGACGGAATAGCCGTTCAGGCACAGTTCAATGAGGGACGAATAGTCCAAGTCCCGCTGCCAGTTCTCAGTCAGAAATAAGAAGTCCAGTTTTTTAGAAGATATAAAATCGTTAAGAACAAACAATTTATTAGTCAATGATCGGGCATTAAAAAGCGCCATGTTCAGTGGGGTGGAAGCATCATTTTTAGTAGAGGCTCGAGTTAAAGGACGCAAATACTCGGGGTTTGAACCTTCACGCTCGTAGATTCCACTCAACGAGGGGATGAAAAGCCAGTCAGCAGGAGAGTCTGGATGAACCCTCCTGAGGCAGCACGGTCTCGGAGAGCCGGGCCCTGCGTATCCAAGCAGGGACATGGAAAACAAATTCCCCTCCATGGAGCTATTCTGAGCATAGGTAACAAAGCATGCTCGACATTGCTTTCCAGTCAGACCCCGCCACCAGAAAAGCCTAACGGTGTGTCCACACCGAACTCGATAGACGCGAACGAAAACGCCCCAAATGCCCCTAATTTGACGCGTGCACATTCGCACCTCAACGCGTGTCCAAGAAAAATCCATAGTGCCTCAAAATTGCATATTTTGCCTGTCCGTCTGCCTGAGGTTAGTAAAAGTGTTTAATATGGTAGTCCTTTATTGATACCTGTGCTAATATGGTAAACTATCGTTTATACACTGCTAACATGGATGTGCTATGCTAACAGTGAATGCCGTTTGTGTTTACTGATAGCAAACTGTGGTATGGAGACGACTGTTTATAATATTTCTAGTGATACTCGAAAGGTCTCATCAAGTCCTGACTTAATTCAATTTATGCTGTTGCATTGATAGCATGGCTGTGGTGCTCTCGGTGTTTGGTTTGGTTCATCTTTAGTTATATAGTTCTGTCTTGATAAACTGTCTTATCACAGATAAATTTTTCAAAAATATTAATGATATAAGCAAGGAAAGGGCTACATGTCAACATACAACTCTTTATTTCTATTAATGTCTTACTTCATTCCTACCTGATTGACATGTTTAGGAATTATGAGTGATTGGCTCACTGTAGT